TTCTGTGTATATATATATATATATATATATATATATATATATATATATATATATAAAGGCTTTATAAACCCTTCCCACACTCTTGCAATATTCTAAACGATGTCTCTAAACTGTAAACGCTCTAAAAGACACAGCATGTCATGATCTCTCTCTGCCACGCTGCAGTCACACTCATCACCTGTTACTCCCAATCTCCCTCCTTCTGTGTAAATAAACATTTTAAATTTTAATACATTCAGCATGGATTGTTTATTGAAAATATTACAGTATTTAAATGTAAATAGAGAAGTGCAGCAGGACATCACGGGATGTCACGCAGCTTCAGCTCTGCAGCACGGAGCACAAATGTTCTTGATCAATTACACTGAAACAACTGAACATAAAAGTTGTTTTTAACTACTTTAGAACTTCTAACACTTTTAGATTTTCAGATTATGACAATTTTACGATGTGACATACTTTGAATTTTAAGTTGGAAGACAAAAGTCGACCGGTGCATCTGGACACGAAGCTGCTTCAGCCGGAGGAGAAATGTGTGCGAGGCAGAGAGCAGAGCTCATGACAGAGGGAGCGTCTCCCTGCACCTAATGATTAGCAGGTGCTAAATCATTTAAAATAATTTATTTTAAATAAACAATCCATGCCGCTCGTGTGGCTCATCCATCAATCAGCCAATGTGTCACTTTGAAAAACTGCGAAAGAGCGAGTCTGCAAAAATCAAACCACGGAGTAGAGAGGGACTTCTGTATTGAACTTACCACCATGTTTATGATTTATTTTGCTGTTGGGACAGTTTTTATTGAACTATAAATGGAACTCGTCATGTCGACCCGAGGATCGGGTCACAAGGTGCTCTATTTGAGACAACTGGATTTGATCAAAATATGATGAAGACCTTCTGTGCATGTAATGTATGTATTTCCTTCTGGAAGGAAATGTCTGAAATTTAATCCTAAAGAACATTTTGAAGCATGTTTCTGAGCAGAACCAAAAACGAATGCGATGCTTTCAACTCCAGCAGGGAAATCCTGGAATACACATCTGGTTTGAGGTTTTCTCTTTCAAATGATGTGATGAAATCTTCGTTGGAAGATGATCAAAATGGGACCCGGGCCCGTTTTCCAGGAGATACTTTGAATATCAGACCACACCTCTGGAACTGCTCCTGATATCAGGATGGTCTGGTCAAACCGCTGAGAGTCCATGAGTGAAGGAAGAGAAGAAGCGCCGGACTTGTTAATATTCTGACTGATACCGTCATCACTGCCACTTTACTGCAAACATTTATTTTCATTTCCACTGAACAGCTTTCAAACCAGTTTGTCTCGGTGAAAAATGGTTTTTAAAAGTAAACCCTTTTTATTTACAGACCTGTAGTGGATTTAGTCAGTCCTTGGTCCCTGGACTGATTTCTCTCCATCTTTGCGTGATTTTATATAAAAATACCAGAACCTGTCTCCACTGGACTCATCCTGAGTGCAACTCCACAGCATGGAGTTGTCTCCATGTGTGGTGGGTGCAGCGGGTCGGGTCGTACCACAGAACCTTTGGGTCCAGTTACAGATTGCAGACTGTGAGGTGAATGTGCACAACTTGGAAAGTCAACAAGTTTTTAGTCAAAGTCAAAAGTTTCCTTATTTGTCAATCGCACCACATGTGGTACATATGGTGGAACGAAACTGTGTAAGCAGGGTCCCAGTTACATCCAACAAAAGTATATTGGAAAAGAAAAACATAAGATCTAAGATATGAACCAAAAAGTACACTAAACTAAGAATATACTAAGCACTAATAGTACAAAAATATGTCAAACAGCAGCACGAACATGAGTCTGTGTGAGCAGATGAGGACAAATGAACACAGCAACATGAAATAAATCAGCAGCATGAGATCAGCAGCATGGATAGTCAGCAGCACATCAACAATCAAGTGGCATTACAGTGATTTTCTTCACGGTGATTATTCTGGTCAGAGAAATGTGTGTTTGTTTGTCCTGCGGAGCGGGGCTCGGTCTGTTTACATTCACACTGTACTCTAACCGCGCTGGAGTTTGTTTCTACCGGACCGAGACCTAGGTTTTAGCCCGGGCCAGAGTTCGCCTTTTTGTTCCGTGACAGAGTTCGATGGTGCGTTCACACCTCCCTAAATGAACCGGATTTTCTAGGAAAACGAGCTAGAGTTCGATTAAAGCGGACTAAACAGGGCTAGTGTGAATGCACCCTTAAACTAACTGAAATTTACTTAGACCTGTCTAAATCTTTTGACACTGTGGACCATGACATCTTGTGTCATAATGTAGGATTCTCAGAAATTGGTTTTTCAGCTCACACCATTGGTCGGTTCTCTAACTATCTTTCAGAATGGAGGCAAAGTGTTCAACATAATGGTTTTTCCTCCAATTATTTAATGGTTAACAATGGTGTACCACAAAGCTCAGTCTTAGGACCCACCCTATTTACAATCTACATAGGTAATATAGGTCAGAACATCCCTGATGCATCCTTACATTTCTATGCTGATGACACAGTTGTTTATTGTCGAGCGAAAACAGTTGATAAGGCTTTCCAGCTTTTGCCATCCGGTTTTAACATCATCCAGTCAGATTTGTTCCACCTCAAACTTGTCCTAAATGCTGACAAAACCAAACGGATATGGTTTTCAAACAGGAAGTTGGTCCCAGCAGTTCTTCGATTTTATCCTCGAATGGTGTCCCCATTGAGTTTGTTGATTCCTATAAATGTTTGGGTATCTTGGTCGACTCGCATCTCTCTTTTAAGCTCCACATGGAAAACCTAGTAAAGAAACTGAAAGTTAAACTGGGTTTCCAACATTTTTCAGTCAGGTCATCTGGACAGTTTTTTTTTTGTGCTGAAACGTTTCACCTTCCATCCAGAAGGCTTCATCAGTCAAGGAAACGCAACACAAAACTGATTCTTCCCCCAACAGCTTACGCCAATGTAGAACAAACCAGTTATGTTGGTGCTAAGATGGTCTCTTTGTCCCCCCCCCCCCCCC